TAGGGCGCCGTGCGCTGCCTCTGGACTCCATGCTCGGCGCAGTACTCCTCGAACGCGACGGAGGTGAATTCGCCGCCGTTGTCAGTGCGTAGAACACGCAGCCGACGGCCGGACTCCACCTCCACCTGTGCCTGGAACTTGCAAACCGCGGCGAGCGTGTCGCTCTTCGCGGCAAGCAGCACACACCACATGTACCTGCTCTTGTCATCAACCAGCAGGAGTATGTAGCGCTTACCCCCGGGTGTTTGCGGCGAGATTGGGCCACACAGATCTCCATGGACCAAGTCGAGGACGCCTTCAGCCCGTCGCTTCGCCTGCGATGGGAACGGGCTGCGCTTCAGTTTGGTGGTGACGCAGTCCGCGCAGAGCTGGTGCACGTGGTCGACGGGAGGCAGTCCGTGCACCATGCCGCGCTGCTCCAACTTCCGGAGGGCATCGAAGTGCAGATGCCCGTAACGTTCATGCCACAGCCACGCGCTGTCGGATGTGCGCGCGGCCAGGCAGAGCGGCCGGGCGATCTTGACGCGCAGGAGGTACAGGCGGTTGGTCGAACGGTGGATGCGCATGATCAGCCGTCCCTTGTTGTCGCGGATTCGGAGAAGCCCGTTCTTGGAGTGGATCTCGCAGCCGCCTTCCTCGAGTTGACCATAGCTGATGATGTTGGTTGTAAGCCTGGGGATGAAATACACCCCCGTGAGTGGCAGGTGCTCACCAGTCTTGCCTTCGAAGAGGACGGTGCCGGACCCCTCGATCGCCACCTCGGAGCCATCGCCGAATTTGACGGTGCCGCGGACGGAGGTGTCGATGTCGACGAACGCGTCCCTGCAGCCCGACATGTGGTTCGTCGCTCCACTGTCCAGGTACCAGACGCCGTCGTCGCGCTCGGTTGAGCCATCAAGCTTCGCGAGCACCTTTGCCTCGATGACGCGTAGCGGCGGGGAAGAAGTGGATCGGACTCCGCCAGTCTGTGCGAGCGGCGCGTTGGAGGAGACAGAGGCGTGAGCCATCAGCAGAGTCGGCTCGTCGTCCTCGTCAGCTTGCGCCATATGGGCCTCCTCCTTGGGCTTGCTTCTGCAATCTTTGGCCCAGTGGCCAGTCTTACCACAGCGTACACATTGATCCCGGTTGGGCTTCCTTCCGCCGGCCGGCTGCCCTTTCGTGCCATCACGCGGTGCGGAGCCGTCGCTCTTGCCGCGTCCGCGGCCACGACCACGGCCGCCGCGCTTCTTGCCGCTGGAGCTCGACGCCGCACTGCGCCCGGAGCTGTCCTGGTCTCGGCGAGCCTTGCGGCGCGCCTCCCAGTCTTCCTCGGTGAGAAGGAGACGCCCCATGGCGTCCGTGACGGACTTCTGCTTGCCGCGGTCCTCGAACCCGCCCGATTACGTCCTCGATCGAGATGGTGCGGAGGTTGCAGAACATCTCGATGGAGACGGCGGCTTGGGACAGCATCTCCGGCACTACCTGCAGCAGTTTCTTAACTACCTCGGATTCGGAGATGTTGTCGCCGAGGGTGCGCAGGTTCGTGGCGAGAGTGGTGATCCGCATGCCGAAGTCGCTGACGGTTTCCCCATCATTGAAGGCGAGGTTGCCGAAGTCGCGGCGGAGCTGCTGCGCGGTGGCGTCGCGCGCACGCTCGTCGCCGACCCGGAGGATCTTGATGGCGTCCCATGCCTCCTTCGCCGTGCGCCGGACGGCGAGTGCGTTCCAGAGTTCCTGCGGTACGGACCGCAGGATGCCCGCCATGGCCACCCGATCGTCGTGGTAGTCGTCCTCGTCGAGATCGCTGCCGATGGCGTCGACGACGACGTCCCATACTACCGGCGTCACGGAAGTTGACCTCCATGACCAACGCCCACTCGGGGTAGTTGGATCGCGTGAGCATCGGCCACGCGACGCTCGCGGACGGACGCTCCACAATGTGCTCCAGGACGCGCGACCCGCTGCGGGCGCGAGAGCGGCGAGTGTGCGAGCGGCCTCGGCGGCGGCGCGGCGAACGCGATGGAGTAACCTCCTTCTTCTTCGACGGAGACTCGGACATGGCGCCGGCGGCGTGATCTCGGCTCTGATGCCAAATGTCAGCCGGAATTGTTCCGGCCAAGAAACTCTCAACCTCACGTACTGAGAATACAAGCACGATGAACACAGGGTATTTTTGGTGCTGTGCGAACTGCAGCAGCTTTTCTGTTTTATGCTCCTCTATTATTTGTATCTAATTACAGAGAAGACTTCAACGGAAAGAAAATGGTGGCCGGGCTTTGCTCGCACCAACCGACATTCGTGGCCATGAACCGCACTACTGCATGTGCCATCCCACACGCCCAGTCCACGCCACGATCCTACATAATCGGTACAAAGACGCGCTCGGGAGGAAAGAATCCAAAGCCGAGCTCTATGCTAACAGAACGCTAACTGAACTTAACTGAAAATGAAAGCAAAACGAACTGAACTCAGACTTACAGTTAAGACTCACAGGGATCACCGTCGGGGACACCCTGCTGCCGATCGACCCCGCCGTGTTCCAGCTCACCGCGTCGGGCCGCGGCGGGCTCATCATCGACTCCGGCACGACGCTCACGGCGCTAGAGGAGCGCGCGTTCGTGGTGCTGGCGCGCGCCGTCGCCGCCCGCGTGGCGCTGCCGCTGGCCAGCGGCGCGCACCTGGGCCTCAGCGTCTGCTTCGCGGCGCCCCAGGGGCGGGGGCCCGAGGCCGTGGCCGTGCCGCGGCTGGTTCTCCACTTCGACGGCGCCGACATGGAGCTGCCGCGGAGCAGCGCCGTGGTGGAGGACAGCGTCGCCGGGGTCGCGTGCCTGGGGATGGTGAGCGCGCGGGGGATGTCGGTGCTCGGAAGCATGCAGCAGCAGAACATGCACGTCCAGTACGACGTCGAGAGGGGCGTCTTGTCCTTTGAGCCCGCCAACTGCAGCGAGCTCTAGGATTTGGGAACGGTGCGTTGAAATGTGGCCCATCTGTATGCTGATATTAATGACTGTAGCGTCACGTAGCAGCAAAATGGCTCTGGCTCTCATGCCCAAAAATGAAATATGCAGAGGAGCCGGCGGGGTTGGTGCTGGGAGGCTCCCGAAACTGGCAGTAAGCTTGTGTTGTCTTGTCAACTTCAACCCTAACCTTTAACCCTGTTAGAGCTAGAAACCCTTATGCCAATTGTGATAATTAAAGATCGAAGAATCACAAACTCCATTGTTATGGCTGTCTCAAGCGGTAAAGCCTACCGGGCAATTTAGGTTTTCCATTCTTCCTACTCATGTGCTCCTTACCTCTCTCAGTTTTCTTGTGTGTTGCTCACACAGAGTCTGTTACTCCGCCACTACTCTTAGTTGCTCATACATGAACGGTTTATTTTTTTAAAGGCGTGACGGAGGTAGGAATATTTTTTTTAGGTGTGGTGGGTTTATAAAGGTCGAACATGTATAATGTAACTATCAATTATGCAAGGACGCACTAGAACATTATCTAAATATGTTTACTACTATGTGATCAACAAATATAACAGAAATCCAAAAGTAAAGTATTGGCACATAAAATACCTCACTAAATAAATCTTGTTGTTGGAAATACATACCCATAATAAAGCTTTATTTGGGTGTAGGCTTTGGCAATGGCATTCTTCATTTTTTCTTTTGAAAGATATAGTGTTTAGAATTCTAATTTTTGAATTAAAAAAATACCTTTCATCACATATGTGCTCTTCTTTGGTGCCATCGTGCAGTTGAAGCAGTTGCAGACTTGCCGTTGCCGGCGCTAGGCGGAGTGGAGGCGCGGAGCCGCAGCCGCTGTCACCGGCGTGGCGGACTGGCCGCGTCGAACTCGCGCCGCCGTCCGCCAGCCACCGCGTTGAGTTCTCGGCTTCTTGCGTCGGCGCCACTGTCCGCCATCCACGGTCCAGGAACCCCCGCGTTGATCGATCAGATCAGAATACCAAGAGGAAGAGTCAAAGAGACGCGAGCAGACGAGGCCTAGGCTAGCTTCCCTTTCCCTCCGTGCCTTCTGCTGCTAATCGACGCCACGAGGCCCATCAAGCTAGCGGAGGCGGAGCCCAACCTATCTAGCTTCCCTCCGTATGAGTGTATGACCATGTCACGTACGTATGTGTATGTATTTCAAATATAGTACATATATTCAGTATTTTTTATTTTTTTAGGTACGGCGGCCGCCAAGGCTCGCCAGATATACCTGCCTCCGCCCGGCTGTTACGTGATTCATCGTCTTCTTGTTTTGCGCAGACTAGTAGGAGATATACAAAATTTGTGGGTTTTGGGCTATCGCTAAGCTCCTTAATTACCAACATCCACATATGGAGGAATTTATTATCTTTCTTTTTTGCGAAAGAGGTAATCTATTATCTGAATAGATTCTTTCTAGAACAAGATTATACGCGCGTGCGTACATTGATTCTATCACACGTCTAACCAAACGAGGCTAGAGCAGCTCTCGGACTATAAAAGGTAAGCTCAACTGGGTGATGTTAGAAAGTCTGAAATGTTCTCTCTCTCTTTTATCAACCAAAAATTGCAAATTGCTCCTCCGTTCCAAACTATAAGTCTTTTTGTTTTTTCTAAATACATAGTTTTTGTTACGTAGCTAAATATAATCTATATCTAAATGCATAACAAAAGTTATGTAACTAAAAAATTAAAACAACTTATAATTTTGAACAGAGAAAGTACTATATAGCTAGGTAATGTAAACTTTTGATCACTTGGAAAATAGAGGCTGCCCCTTTTGTATAAAAATGAGGCAGCCTCCATTTTTTTGCTTTCTGGACTCGAGAGATACAAATATGCATTGAATTATCCTACATGCACGTATTATGAAAAGGAGTGATCCAAATATTACTCTGGAGATACTAAATTTCAGCTAGTTCGTATTCACGTAACGTTTGAAGGCATGGTGCTGATAAGGTAAATGGGCCTTTTTGTTTTGTTTGATCAAACGAAACCTGTCGAAACGAAACGGAGGAAGACGTCTCAGTGTCTCACGACATGGCGTGCAGAGCTGTAGCAGCTCTGCTGACGCTTGCTGCTGTTCTCATCGGCTTCCTCACGCCGGTGACTCCCGCGAAGACAGCTCACGGCTTCCGCGCCACCCTCGCTCGCGTCCACCAGCATCCCGGCAACTACTCCGCCGCGGCACGTCGCGACGCGCGCCGCCTCGCGCTCCTCTCGTACCGGGCCCCCGCGGAAGGCGCGGCCACGAGCACGAGCACGAGCACGAGCACGATCTCCGCCTCTTCCCACCATGGTCTCCTCTGTAAGAGATGGAAAAGAGAACGAGGACAACTCAGATTCTATTGATCAGGACTTACGCCTCTATATACATGTACATCACGGTCAGATAACTGACATAAGCTAGCTAGACTCAAGGAGAGCCACAGGACGTTCTAACTGAAGAATACAGGTCGCTAACACCCCCGCAGTGTGAGCGTCGTTGCCGGCGACGCACAGACTGTTTCGAAACTCCTTGAAGGTTGCCGTCGGTAGACCTTTGGTCATTACGTCGGAGAACTGCTGCGTTGTGGGTACATGAAGAACTTTGCATTGTCCAACTGTGACTTTCTCTCGGACGAAATGCACATCGAGCTCAATGTGTTTAGTGCGTTTGTGATTTACTGGATTGGAGCTCATGTAGCAGGCAGAGACATTGTCGCAGAAGATGATTGTTGCCTTCGTGAGGGGACAGTCGAGTTCACCCAGCAGCTGCCGGAGCCAAATGCACTCGGCTACGGCGTTGGCGGCCTCTCGATATTCAGCTTCGGCGCTTGAACGGGAGACTGTCGTCTGCCGTTTGGATGACCACGAAATCATGGCGTCACCCATGAACACACAGAAGCCCGAAGTTGAGCGTCGAGTGTCCGGACACCTGGCCCAATCCGCATCGGAGTAGGCGACGAGATCTGTCTGGTTGGAGCGCCAGAGATGGAGGCCAAGGGCCGTGCTTCCACGGACATAGCGAAGTATCCTCTTCAAGAGAGCTTGATACGCCGTTGTTGGAGCGTGCATGAAGAGACACGCTTGCTGCACAGCGTACTGCTGGTCGGGCCGTGTCATCGTTAGATATTGGAGAGCACCGACCAGACTGTGGTAGTCCGAGGCATCCGATGTGATGAAGTATTGTATACTACAGGTTTAGTCTACAGAAGCAGTTAGAGTTAGCGTAGACGTGTGGTGGGCTAGGCGTCGCCCACGATCTCATGTGCGCCGTGTTAGATAATCTACTGCTACCTTGTGTGAACACAGCAAGGAAAGACGGTGCCGAAAGGCCCCCTACTGTGATACTGTAGCCGCTGCAGGTGTAGGCGCCACACGGCTCACCTGCAGCACTGTAGGCATATGCAGTGGCCGACGCAGAGTCAGCTCTGTATGTTATCTAGTCACTGTTGCAGCAGGGCAGCTATACTGGGACTAGATGAATAGAGTTGTATAAATAGACTACCACGGCAACTCAGTAAAGAGAGCTCAGATTTGCCATCTCACAGACAGGGCTTCAGCCAACGCTGGTGTCTTGTATTGTGCGTGCATGCTCTGTTCTCCATTCTTCTTCTAGCTCTAGCCATAGTGTGTGGGGACGGACAACGCTCGTTCGTGGTCGACACGGCTAGTGGGTGCTCGGCAAGACCGGCGAGTGGTTTACTCGCCTGAGCCGGTGATCCTGTGGGCCAACAAGTGGTATCAGAGTCGTACAAGCGCCGTCGCCAGACTAACCGCTGGTGATGACGGGCGGTTCGGAGATTGGCGACAGCAGTGGCACTGCTGTGGCTACCCAGCCACGACTGGAGGTCGTTGTTCGCACGGTGCAGGAGGTCAGCGGGACCAGTTGGCCGACGCTGACTCGCACCAACTATGGAGAGTGGTCAGTGACCATGAAGGTCAAGCTCAGAGCCCGACGGCTCTGGAATGCTGTTGACAAGGGCACCGACAGTGAAGAAGATGACATGTCAGCGCTGGATGCTATCCTCGCTGCTGTACCGATGGAGTACAGGGAGCTGTTGGGGACGAAGAGCTCGGCTAAGGAGGCTATTGTGGCGATGCGCGTCGGTTTCGACCGCGCAAAGAAGGCGACGACCCAGCTTCTAAAGCATGAGTACGCCAACCTCAAGTTCAGGGATGGTGAAACGGTGGAGGACTTCTCCCTCCGTCTACAGACACTCATCAGCAAGCTGAAGAGCCACGATGTCACCATCGACGAAGAGGAGGCGGTCTCTAAGTACCTCCACTCCGTGCTGGCAAAGTACATCCAGATCACTCTCTCCATAGAACGATGCTGGACTTGTCCACCCTCACCATTGAGGATGTGACAGGCCGTCTGTGGGCGGTGGACGAACGCCTAGAGCAGGCGACAGCAACGAAGGACAGCGGGAAACTCCTGCTGACGGAAGAGGAGTGGGCTGCTCGGAGGAACTCCGGGAAGGCAGCCTCCTCCAGCCGCGGTGGCGATGGCAAGCGCCGCGGTAAGGCTTCTTTGGAGAAGAAGCAGGTCGACCCCAACGCCTGCTGGCATTACGGGAAGATGGGCCATTGGTTACGGGAGTGCCCAAACCGCAAGCAGGAAAAGAAGGCTCAGGCTCACCTGGCGCAAGCCGATGATGAGGATGAGGCCACTATCCTGATGGTGACGTTCTGTGCACTACACAACGTCGAGGCCGAGGAGAGGGAAGAGGCAACGATGATGGAAGGACCTGGGAAGGCCCTGAAGACTGTCAACCTCGACGAACCACGCGCCCAAGTTCACCTCAGACGTGTGGGCACCGACCAGGAGCAGCGGTGGTATCTGGACTCTGGTGCTAGTAACCACATGACGGGCTCCAAGGCATCCTTCTCCGAGCTCGACGGCGATGTTACTGGTACGGTGAAGTTTGGTGATGGCTTAAGGGTGGCTATCCAAGGGCGTGGCACCATTATCTTTAGATGCCAGAACGGAGAGCACCGCGCGATAACGGATGTATATTACATCCTGCAGCTGTGTTCCAGCATCATCAGCATTGGTCAGCTAGATGAGCGCGGTAGCGAGGTACTGATCAAGGATGGAGTCCTTAGGATCAAGGACCGGGAGCAGCGACTTCTTGCCAAGGTGAAGAGGTCCCTGAACCAGTTGTACCTGCTCGACCTGAAGGTAGAGCAGCCGGTGTGCCTGGTGGCCAGGCACTCCGAGGAACCGTGGATGTGGCATGCCCGGTTCGGACATCTCAGCTTCGACGTGCTTGGTCAGCTGGAGAAGATGGTCCGAGAGCTACTCCACATCAAGCATGGAGGCGAGCTGTGTGACAGCTGCCTGGCCGGGAAGCAGAGGAGGCTACCTTTCCCAAAGGCGGCCAAGTATCGCGCTAAGGATGCTCTCGAGCTCATCCACGGCAACCTCTGCGGGCCGATCACGCCTGCTACATGCGATGGTCGGTGGTACTTCCTCCTACTCGTGGACGATTGCAGTCGCTACATGTGGCTGCAACTCCTGACGAGCAAGGATGAAGCAGCGGCGGCGATCAAGAAGTTCAAGACGCGTGCGGAGGCCGAGAGCGACAAGAAGCTCCGTGTGCTGAGGACTGATCGCGGCGGTGAATTCACTTCGGTGGAGTTTGCCGCGTACTGCGTGGATCAGGGTGTGGGGCAACACCACACCGCACCGTACTCGCCACAACAGAATGGCGTGGTGGAGCAACGAAACCAGACGGTGGTCGGCATGGCCCGATCTATGATGAAGGCCAAAGGCATGCTGGCAAGGTTTTAGGGGGAGGCGATGACCACGGTGGTGTTCATCCTCAATTGCGCTCCGACCAAGGCCCTGACGGGCAAGACGTCGTTCGAAGCTTGGTATGGGCGCAAGCCGAGCGTGTCCTTCCTCCGGACATTCGGTTGCATCGGCCATGTCAGGAAGACGAAGCCGAACCTCACCAAGCTAGAGGATAGGAGCACACCCATGGTGTTCCTAGGCTACGTGGAGGATACCAAGGCATACCGGCTCTACGACCCACGCGGAGACAAGGTGCTTGTCTCGCGTGATGTCGTGTTTGACGAGGAGGCGGCTTGGGACTGGAGCAGTCCGAGCACGGGGGAAGCTGGTAGCTTCACCAGCACCTTCGTCGTCGAGCACTTGGTCATCCACGGTGGTGGAGACGTTGGGGAACAGGTGCCGAGCACTCCGCGAGGAGTACCGAGCACTCCGGCGGTAGAGCTGAGCACTCCTAGGGTAGTGCCGAGCACTTCGGGAGGGATGTCGAGCACTCTGAGAGGAGTGCCGAACACTTCTGGAGGGATGCCGAGCACGCTAGGAATGGTGCCGGGAGGTTCTGCAGTGGTGGCGACCACTCCAGGACGGATGCCGAGCACTCTCGTGGCGGAGCCAAGATGTCTTACAGTGGTGTTGACCACTCCAAGACTGAGGCAGGACACTCCTACAGTGTGGCCGAACACTGCAGGAGTTATGACGAGCTGTCCAAAAGTAGTGCCAAGCACTCAAGGTGCTATGCCAAGCACTCTGGCGGAACAGGGAACTCCATCGACGCCGATCGAGTTCGCCTCACCTCCTAGTGACATCACTGAGTTTGTGGATGCCTTCCACGAAGGTGAGGAGGTGCGGTTTCACGGGCTGGACGACATCGTCGGCGGCACAGGTCCCTCAGGTCTGGCGGGCAGGCTGCTCAACGATGCAGAGTTGCTACTCATCAGTGCAAAGGAACCACCCACGTTCGCGCTAGCCGAGCGCGATGGAAACTGGCGACGGGCGATGCTGGAGGAGATGAAGGCGATCGAGGAAAACAAGACTTGGCAGTTCGTCGATCCAACTCCAGGATGCCATCCGATCAGCCTGAAGTGGGTGTACAAGGTCAAAAGGGACGAGCTCGGTGCCATTGTCAAGCACAAGGCGCGCCTCGTCGCCCGAGGCTTTGTTCAGTGCGAGGGCATCGACTTTGAGGAGGTCTTTGCACCAGTAGCGCACATGGAGTCGGTTCGTTTGCTACTAGCCTTGGCAGCAGCAAAGGACTGGCGCATCCATCACTTGGACGTTAAATCGACCTTCCTCAACGGTGAACTGGCGGAAACGGTCTTCGTCAGGCAACCTCCAGGGTTCGCCGTCAAGGGAGAGGAGCACAGGGTGCTCCGACTGCGCAAGGCGCTCTACGGGCTACGGCAGGCCCCTCGAGCATGGAACGCCAAACTTGACGCCACGCTGGGTAAGCTTGGGTTTCAACGGTGCGCAACCGAGCATGCGCTCTACACGCGGCGATGGGGGAAGGAGGAGCTCATCGTCGGCGTGTATGTGGATGACTTAATCGTCACCGGCGCACGAACAGAGGATATCAACAGCTTTAAGCGCGAGATGGTGGCTCGTTTTCGAATGAGCGATCTCGGCGCACTCTCCTACTACCTCGGCATCGAGGTGAGACAAGGGAAGGAGGAAATCACGCTTGGTCAGAGCGCGTATGCCTCCGAGCTATTGGAGAGGAGCGGCATGGCTGAGTGCAAGCCATGCGCGACTCCGATGGAGGAGCGGCTGAAGCTGACGAAGGCCAATACCACAGCGAAGGTGGATGCGACACTCTACCGGAGTATCGTCGGCGGTCTACGCTACCTAGTCCACACGAGGCCGGATATTGCGTTCGCCATGGGCTACGTCAGTCGCTTCATGGAAGATCCCAGAGAGGAACACTGGGCTGCGGTGAAGCGGCTACTGCGCTACGTCAAGGGGACGGTAGATCATGGGATCATCTTCCCAAAGACCGGCGAGAGTAGGCTGCAGCTCACTGTGTTCAGCGATGCAGACATGGCAGGGGACATCGATGGACGATAGAGCACCTCTGGGGTGCTCGTATTCCTCGGGTCGGCCCCAATTTCATGGCTGTCGCTGAAACAGAAGGTGGTGGCGCTATCTACGTGCGAGGCAGAGTACGTAGCGGCGGCCACAGCGGCGTGCCAAGTTGTGTGGCTACGCCGGCTGCTGGGCGAGCTGACCGGCGTGGAAGCTCACCCACCAGCACTGATAGTGGACAACCAGCCTGCCATCGCCCTCGCGAAGAATCCGGTTCTGCACGACCGGAGTAAACACATCGACGTGAAGTTCCACTTCCTCAGGGACTATGTCGATGGAGGGCAGATCATCATCGAGTTTGTCGAAACTGGTCGGCAACTCGCGGACGTCCTCACCAAGCCGCTCGAACATCTTCAACTCATGGAGCTGAAGGAGATGATCGGTATGGAAGGGGTACAAGGGTTAGCAGTAGGATTAGAGGAAGATTATTAGATAATCTACTGCTACCTTGTGTGAACACAGCAAGGGAATGCGACGCCGAAAGGCCCCCTGCTGTGATACTGTAGCCGCTACAGGTGCAGGCGCCGCATGGCTCACCTGCAGCATTGTAGGCACATGCAGTGGCCGGCGCAGAGTCAGCCCTGTATGTTATCTAGTCACTGTTGCAGCAGGGCAGCTGTACTGGGACTAGATGGATAGAGTTGTATAAATAGACTACCACGACAACTCAGTAAAGAGAGCTCAGATTTGCCATCTCACAGACAGGGCTTCGGCCAACGCTGGTGTCTTGTATTGTGCGTGCATGCTCTGTTCTCCCTTCTTCTTCTAGCTCTAGCCATAGTGTGTGGGGACAGACAACGCTCGTTTGTGGTCGGCACGGCTAGTGCTCGGCAACACTAGCAGGTGCTCGGCAAGACCGGCGAGTGGTTCACTCGCCTGAGCCGGTGATCCTGTGGGCCAACACGCCGTGCACACACTCTTGTAAACCACACGAAATCTTGTGGGCTCCTATTCTCTTTATGGTATCAATTAGCGCAGAGAGATCCTGCCTCCGCTGCTCACTACCTTCCTCCTCCGCCTCCCACCGTCGCGCGCGCTGCCACGCCATCCTCTCCGCTGCTCGCCGTTCCTTCTCTGCCATGGCGGACATGGAGGACAATCCTCTCTTCGGAGTCAGCCTTTCCAGCATCGCCTCTTCCTCCTCCGATTCCTCCTCTCTGAGCGATGATGTTCCTCCTGTGGAACCGCCCTCCACTACCGTCCTCCAAACCGTGAACATCAAGTCTCATGTTCCGGTGATCCTTGAACTCGCCGATCCCAACTATGATGAGTGGTGATGCTTCTTTGATGCCCTCATTGGCAAGTTTGGCCTTGCTTCCCACCTCTCCTCCCCACCAACGCCTGAACAGCGCCGTGATCCGGCCTGGTGCATCCGGGATCAGTGCATTTTGAGCTGGCTCTACAACTCCATCGCCCGCGACGTGCGTGCTATTGTGCGCGTTCCGAAGGCCACGACGTATGTCATGTGGACTGCTATTCATGATTAGTTCTGCGACAACGAACTTCACCGTGCTGTGTACCTCGAGGCGGAATTCCGGAACCTTGTCCAAGGCGACATGACCATTACTCAGTATACCGGCAAACTGAAGCATCTCGCCGACGCCCTCCGCGATGTTGGCCAGCCTGTGCACGAGACCAGTCAGGTCTTGAACATGCTTCGTGGCCTAAGCTCCAAGTATCGTCACATCGTGCCGGTGATCGCGGCGAAACAACCACCGCACACGTTTCTATCGGCGCGTTCTTATCTGCTTTTGGAGGAGCAGTATGACAAGGAGCAGGCCAAGACAGCTGCGCATCAAGCTCTTCTCACCACTGGCGGCCCTCGTCTACCAGTTCCTGCCGCTGCCGATGGCGGTTCTGGTTCTGGGACTGGTGCACAATCTCCAGCTCCGCACCCCTCGGCGGTTCCAGCTCGTACTGATGGGAAGCGGGGACGTGGTCGTGGTTGTGGCCGCGGCGATTACCAGCACTAGGGCGGATCCAGTTCGTTTCCTCGTCCTTCTACTGCCTAGACTCCGGGCCAGTATCCCTGGACGGGCATGGTGCAGGCGTGACAGATACCGTTCAGAGTTTCTGGCGCTGGCGTTCTGGGTCCTCGTCCCGGCGGCCCTCCACCCCAGCAGGCGTACTACGCGGGCGCGCCGCCTTAGTTCAACCCTGGCCCACTCCCACCGCCGCCTCCAACGTCGGACGTCTGGAACAATCAGGCGCTTCTCGCCACGCTCACCACATCTGGTATTCCACCCAGCGGACCACAGGCTGCTGAGTGGTTCCTCGACATGGGCGCGGCGTCGCACATGGCATCAAACGCCGGTAACTTCCCCTCTTCCCAACCTCTCCCCAATTCAGCTCCTATCACTGTTGGCAATGGCGATCTCCTCCCTGTTACTCATATTGCATCTACTGCTATTGCCACTAATCGTTCCCCTCTTCTTCTGAATCAAATTCTGGTTTCTCCTTCTTTGGTCAAGAATTTGATTTCTGTACGTTCTCTTACTCGCGAAAACAATGTGACTGTCGAGTTTGACCCATTCGGTTTTTCCATCAAGGACATTCCGACTCGCACGGTGCTCCTCCGATGTAACAGTGCCGGCGACTTGTACCCTCTGACGTCTTCATCACCTTCGGCACATGTTGCTACGGCACCGTCGGTCGATCTGTGGCACCTGCGATTGGGGCACCCAGGCCGTCACTCTCTTCGTTAGACTTTACCTTCCTTAGATTTCAGTTGTTCAGAGTCTTTATCACATTCGTGTCAGGCATGTCAACTTGGTAAACATGTTAGGCTTCCGTTTTCATCCTCAAATTCTATCAGCTATGTACCTTTTCAGATTGTTCACGCTGATGTTTGGACATCTCCTGTTCCTAGTTGTTTAGGTTCAAATATTACCTTGTTTTGATTGATGATCTGACTCATTATGTGTGGACGTTTCCTTTGCGCTGCAAATCTGATGTTTTCGCCTGTTTTCAGTACTTTCATGCTTATGTTACAACCCAATTCCAGCTGCCTCTCATCTCTTTCCAAACTAATAATGGAAACGATCACCACGCCATGCTTACACATCTTGCTGCCCATGGCATTGCTTTGCGTCTTTCATGTCCCTATACGTCATCTCAAAACGGCAAAGCTGAGCGCATCATCCGCACGATAAATGACTGTGTCCGCAGTCTGCTTATTCACGCCGGCATGCCGTCGTCATTCTGGGTTGAGGCTCTTTCTACTGCCACTCATTTGATCAATCGACGGCCCTATCAAGCAAGTGGCCACTCATTTTATCATTTGCGTGTGTTTGGTTGCCTCTGTTCCCTAGCCAATCAGCCACTACACCAAATAAACTGAGTGCCCGGTCCAGTGCGTGTGTCCTCCTTGGTTATCCATCTGACCATCGTGGTTACCATTGTTTTGATATCGCCACCCGACGAGTAATCACCTCCCGCCATGTCACATTTGATGAAACTCGATTTCCCTTTTCGAAATGCACTGTCTGTTTCTCCTTCTTCTGAATTTTCTGAATCAGCAGTTACTGTTCATCACCGACAACAGAGGTTGCCTTCCTTCCGGCGCATAATATGCCACATCCAACGCCTTCCTCGTCCAACTCTGGTTCGTTCATGACTCCACCTGGGTCTGTCCAGTCACTTGTTCAACCAACGCCATAGTCTTCCATTGCTGGCTCTGGAACGCACGCTGCTCTGCATCCTGGTCCCGCATCATCCAGTGCGACGCTGTCGTCTGGAAATCCACCTCCTACTGTGTCGGCACATCCGATGCTCACCCGGGCGCGGGTTGGTGTTTTCAAACCAAATCCGCGCTACGCGCTTACCTCTACCTCTATGTCTTCAGACGTTTCTGTTCCAGGCGCGATCTCCCCATTGCCTAAGTCTGTACGTGTCGCTCTACGCGACCCGAACTGTCATGCAGCTATGGACCACGAATTCCAAGCTCTCCAGGCAAATCGGACATGACGTCTCGTTGATCGTCCACCCGGAGCTCATATCATCACTGGCAAATGGGTCATTACTCATAAACTCAAACCGGATGGCTCCCTGGATCGCTATAAGGCGCGGTGGGTTGTTCGGGGTTTTACCCAGCGCGCTGGCATTGACTTTGGGGAAACTTTCACACCCGGTGTCAAGCCTGCGACCATTCACACTGTGCTCACTATCGCTGCATCCCGCAACTGGCCAACTCGACAGCTTGATGATTCTAATGCCTTCCTCCATGGTCATTTGCAGGAGCACGTTGTTTGTCAACAACCAACTGGGTTTGCTGATCCAACGCGCCCAAATGCAGTTTGCCTCCTTGACAAATCTCTATATGGTCTTTGTCAGGCACCATGTTCGTGGTTTGATCGGTTTGCCAAGTTTGCCATCAGCCTCGATTTTAAGCCGACGAGGTCTGATTCCTCGCTATTTGTTCTTCAGTGCAGCACTGATACTGCTTACCTCCTATTGTACATTGATGATATGGTGCTTACCGGTTCTAGCTCGGCTCTTCTTCAACGCATCATTGATTGCCTCCGTCTTGAGTTTGCGATCAAAGATCTCGACCCTCTGCGGTTCTTCCTTGGCATTGATGTCCAAAGAACACCAGCTGGATTCTACTTGTCCCAAAAGCGCTATGCCGATGACATTCTTGAGCGAGCAGGAATGACAAACTGCAATCCAACTTCTACCCCAGTTGATGCTAAAGGAAAGTGGTCCGCTGACGGCGACAAGATTGCTGATGCCAAGCAGTATCGAAGTCTCACCGGCGCACTTCAATATCTTACTATCATGCGCTCTGACTTGACATTTGTAGTGCAGCAGCTCTGCTTGCACATGCACGACCCGCGTATTCCTCATCAAGCTCTTCTGAAGCAGGTGCTTCGGTATGTCCTCGGCACGAGCGACATGGGCATCAATCTCTGTTCCAGCACTGACCTTGCCATCACGGCATATTCGGACGAAGATTGGGCAGGGTGCCTCGACACCAGGCGGTCGACCTCGGGGTTCTGTGTGTTCCTGGGCGACTCGCTTGTGTCCTAGTCATCGAAACGACAGCCCACAGTGTCAAGATCAAGCGCCGAAGCTGAGTACCACGGCGTAGCCATTGCTGCAGCTGAGTGCATCTGGCTACGACAGCTACTTGGTGAGCTTCACTGCGGCGTTCACAAGGCTACTGTTGCATATTGTGATAATGTCTCTGCGGTGTATATGTCTACTAACCCGGTTCACCACAAACGGACCAAACACATTGAGCTGGACATTCATTTTGTTCGTGAGCGTGTCCAGCTCGGTGATCTTCGTGTTCTTCATGTTCCCACCAGTGAATAGTATGCGGACGTGATGACAAAAGGACTGCCTACATCAACGTTCATAGCCTTTCGATCCAGTCTGTGTGTCGAGACCGGCCGACTCATCAGACTAGGGGGGGGGGGTGATGAAGTATTGTATACTACCGGTTTAGTCTATAGCAGCAGTTAGAGTTAGCGTAGACGTGTGGTGGCCTAGGCGTCGCCCACGATCTCATGTGCACCGTGCGCACACTCCTGTAAACCATGTATATGTAAACACTGCAGAGCAACACAAAATCTTGTGGGCTCCTATTCTCTTTACGATGTATGAAGCAGCGATCCTAAATCACGGGAGAGCTTGTCGGCGGTGTCACTTGGAGTGTCAAAGGGGCGGCAGTCAGCCATACCGGCGTGTTCCAGAAGGTTGAGGGCGTACTGCTGCTGTTGGAGGAAGAAGCCGTCATCGGTGCGCTAAACCTAGATGTCGAGGAAGTAGTGGACCGGGCCTATGTCCTTGACGGCGAACTCAGCATTGATGGTGCTGATGACACAATGTAGAATGTCGTTGGATGATGCCATGAGCAAGATGTCATCGATGTAGAGAAGGAGGTACATAGATTCTGTGCCGCGGTGAAGGACAAAGAGGGAGCTGTCGGATTGAGTGGGCTTGAACCCCCATCGAGCCGAGGAACATCACGAGGCGCACGTACCATGCCCTGGGCACCTGTTTCAAGCCATAGAGGCTTTTGGAGAGGCGACACACTGAGTCCGGATGCGATGCGTCGATGAAGCCGGCTGGTTGTCGCGCGTAGACCTGTTCGTCGAGCACGCCATGAAGGAAGGCGTTGTTGACACCGAGTTGATGGATAGGCTAGTGGCTCTTGGCAGCCAGGGTGAGCACCATGCGCACCGTCACGGGTTTAACAACGGGACAGTATGTCTCGCCATAGTCGACACCTGCGCGCTGCGTGAAGCCGCGAACCATCCATCGTGCCTTGTACCAATCGAAGTTGCCGTCTTCCTTGAACTTGTGGCAAAAAACCCATTTGCCACTGATGACGTGGGCGCTAGGAGATCGAGAAACGAGCTCCCACGTGTCGTTGGCAAGTAGGGCATCAAATTTGGACTACATAGCATTACGCCAGTGAGGGTCTTTGAGAGCCTGATTCACCATGCGCGAGATCGAGGAGATCGGCAGTGTTGGTGTAGTGCCGGTGGTCATCATAGTTGTAGTGCCAGCATAGCAGGGGTTTGGTTTGAAGGTCCCCACACGTGCCCTGGTCACCATTGGGTGCGTGGCATGGGCGTCCGCGTCGGCTACCGTAGATGTCGATGTTGATGTGGTCGTTCCTGGCGGCGGGGATGCAGGAGGGGTTACCATCCATGTAGTCGAGGGAGACCGAGGCGTCCAAGCCGTGGGCGTTGGCTGTGGGGAGCCACAGATAAATGCGGGTCCACATTGTGCGCATGGTTTGGGTTGGACACGCGACGAGCACGGAGGTTGATCCGGAGTTGGCGGCGACAATACATCGTCAGTGGAGATCAGATCCGAGCGCCATGGATCGTAGGCGTAGGAGGTTGGGACATCATCATGGGTCCGGATCGAAAGGGGAAGATGGTCTTGTCGAAGTGGACGTGGTGCTAGGTCAGGACTTTCTACGTCGTCAAGTTGTAGCACTGATAGCCATGATGATCCT